TGGACTTTCAAATAGCATTGATTGAGTTGCTAATGGACGAGGTGAATTTATCATCAAATTCACGCATCTTGCTTTATCAACATTAATTTTTGGAAAATCTTTAACCAAATCTTATAATAAATAAAATAGGCACATAAATAAATAGTATTATTACATTACAGAGCGAAGCAAAAGATATTATATAATAAAGAAATATATTTTAAATACCTTTTTTAACATATTTATTAATGCATACTTTACATATATTAGCATCAGGTTGAGAAGGAGAAATCTGAAGTTGCGGAAAAATATTACTTTGAAACCAGGTAACAAAATCCAAATCCAATTTAATTTTTTGTTTTGCTGCACCAATTTTTGATAAAGGTTGATGTCGAAATTCAACTTTATAATCTCTTTCAACCAATTTTTTTTTCCACACAACTTCTTTTGGTTGACATAAACAATCTTTGCCAAAAGTTTTTTCACAGAGCAAACAAATTAGGCAAATTGGACACGCGTTTAACTGGAAGTTTAATGAACTATCCATGTTAACGTTTAAATAACGTGAGTAAAAAAATTGAATACGTATTTATATTTGATTGATGCTAAATTTGATTGGCACCGAGAAAATTTCTAATCATTTGATTGGTCCCGACATTTCCGACATTTCCGAACAATCCGACAGTGCCGATAAACCTAAATTTTACATGTCCCGCAACTTTTGAAAATAGCTGTAATATATAAAATTATCGTAACGTGAGCACAGAAAATTTTAGTTTAAAGAAGAAAAAAGGGCTGCACAAATCTTGAAATATGTGAACGAAAGAAAAAAATGCAAGTCATCCGAATATTGAAATTGCACACCAATATTGTATTTTGATATAATTTTAGATAAGAAAAATAAATTCGTGTAACAATTTCGTGTAACAGAATGTAAATAATTTTTTTTACGCGCGTTTTTCGTTTAAAATGAATGTAATAAAATTTTATTAAGTCACTGACGAACATAATTTTAATTTTCCAAACATAAATAAAATCTTGATTCTTTTTATTATAATGTTGACATAAATACATATTAACAAACAACAAAAAAAATTAAATACATGACTTGCCTAACTTACCTAAACAAATATATATACACGCAAAATTTTAATAAATAAATAGGAAAATTTCTTACCTTAAACGTCAAAATCGAATTTTTGTCCAATCTATCTAATTCATTCTAATTTCCATAGTATTACAATAATATTTAATTAAAGTTCGATAAATATCTGTAATAACAAGATTCTAAATCTATTGTTCCTATTTATAAATTTTTCTTTGCATAATTTTCGTCTGTTTCATCTAATTATATCTTGTGGTTTTTTTTAATACTATATTCTATTGACGTATAAATAATCAGCGTCCTATATTATTATAATTAACTAATGATAAAAGAAATAAGTAATTAAATTTCTATTTAGCGTTGGATTTTTCTATGCTATGTCAATCATGTTCATATCTACGTGTCGTGTTTATATCTAATACTTCTAAAGAAACAATATATATCTAGCTTCTATCTAATTTTGTCTAAGTTCTTCTATTGCTTTGCCACACAAGTTTCTATAACTATTAAATTTCTATTAGCGTTCGATTTTTCTATGTCTGTCATGCTCATATCTACGTGTTTCTATCTAATATTTCTAAAGAAATGATTATATCTAGCTTCTGTATAACTATATGTTACACAAGTTTCTAGAAAATCGAACGCCAAATAGAATTTATTAATTATCTGTCTATCATGTTCGTATCTACGTGTTTCTATCTAATATTTCTAAAGAAACGATAAATATCTAGCTTCTATCTAATGCTATCTAGTGTTTAATCTAAGTTCTTCTATTGCTATGTCACACAAGATTCTTTAACTATTAAATTTCTATTTAGCGTTCAATTTTTCTCTGTCTACCATTTTCATATCTACTGTTACTGTTTCTGTCTATCTAATTCTATCTAGTGTTTTGTCTATCTAAGTTCCTCTATTGCTATATCACACAAATTTCTATAAATATAATAACTATCTAAACTTTTACAACACTAAAATATATACCTATATACCAAAATAATTATTATTTTCATTCTATAAATGGTTGAATAAAAAAAAACTTGGTTAGAACATATTTAATAAATTTATTAATAAAAACAATAAAATCTTTAATAGTTTTTGCGTGTGTAAATATGTTGTATTACTGTGTCTGTAGTTAAAGTTGGAAGAGTTGTGTCGAACAAAATAAATAAAATAAACTTTAAATACGTGAAATGTAACGATTTGATTGTTGATCATCGTGACATATCGATAAAAGAATAAACTTTTCCAAAAACCATTTTTTTTTTTTACGTTGAGAAAATTGTTGAACTCGAAATTATAATTAACAGTTAATATTTCCATTTTGCAATCACTTTTAAAGTTCGCAATAATTATTTCATGACAGAAAAATTTACTCGTTTAAAATGGAATATATTGGAATTTTTTACTTTAAGGCTTCAAGAACATTAAAGAAAATTGTTAATAGTGAAGGATATTACAGTTGTAAAAGAGCACCTAAGTTTCTTAAAGGCGAGTTTAAAGCTTTTATCATTAAAAATTTAGTCATAACAGTGACTTATAGGTTTTTCTAGGTTATCTGAAATTCAAGTTTCTGCCAGGCGCAAGTAGCTTACTGGGAAACCTGTTTTTCAAAAGTTTCTAGTTTATTTGGAGGGATGAAGATGAATGGAGTGCGCGGTAGTTGAGAAAACGGTTAGTTAATTTAATCTTCATTATAAGATAATCAAAAAAATTACCATCTTGCATAGGATAAGAGCAGAATTACCAACCTATATTTATGGATATGACAATAAACGTAAATAATGGTCGGTTTGACTTTATTGCTGAATTGAAGAAAGATTTGATAAGATTTGTTATAAGTTTTCAATTTTAGGACAAACGAACTAATGATGGTTATTTATCCACTGACACGAATAATTGTTCAAGACGAACAAGATAATTATATAAAGCTGGTAGATAACTTAATTTTTCCTATTCTCCAAATTTGGATTTATAGTAGTAAAGACGTTGAATGTTTTTATATTTCATACATTAATTACTAATTACCGTAATTTTAGCGTCCCACACTTTAGCTTTATTCGCTAAGGAACTAAGTCCTTTATAGAATGCACCGGTATATTTCATGTCATTTTTATTTTCTCCAATTGAACTAGGTAAGCCAACGCAATTGTTTCAAGAGTTTGTTTAACGTTTAATTTTCTGAAATATCAGATCTTAAATTTTTTTTTTTAGTCTTTTTTTATGTAGTATTACGAATGAGCCTAACATAAATCGTTATTTAAATGATCCTGAAATGGTTATTGAAACCTGAAATCTATCAAGATCTAGAAAGTGAGCATGATTAGATTAAAAACATACACGTTAGGAAATTCAAACTGATTATAATATAATTTAGGAGTTTTCTTGGCGTTCCATCATCTATTAAGGGATAAATATATAACATAAGATGAAAAGTTGATTATGAGGCACAAGTTAAAATTGTAGTGACATTAAATTAAATGCAGCTGATGCATTTAACTTGTTTTAAATTATGATGATTTTGGTAAGCAGGGAAAAATAGCATAAGTAATTTTATGCTTGAAGTTAATTTGAAACATATCTCAAACGATTGTCGCCAGATTTATCTGTTGGTTAATCTCTTATATACGGCGACTGGGTATTTTTTTTGACCACTTATGAGTATTCCAAAATTGTTCTTTTTTATTTGCTGATTGTCCTGGTTCCAGTATCAAAAAATTTCTAATCGGTATTTTTATGAAGTTGTGATAATCTCCTATCATTTCTTGGATATATTTACAATTTAAAATGTCAAAATAAGTAAAATAATGATGGAAAGTCGTACAAACTATTTCTTTAATTTGACCATATACACCTTAAAATTTCTTAAATAAATTCAATCTTAATATAATGATTTTTAACGTTAAACTAACGTAGGTTTTGGTGCTAGAAGTTACTTTTATGGTTAAATAATTCTTTCGCCATAATTTACTTCAATGATATAAATTGAGCAAATCCTCAATATTTCAAATGAAGTTTCCGGCTTTTTATATTTCGTAACATCAATTACTTTTCAAGAATCCTTTAGTTGGTATTAAATGGTCTCCAATATTAATTTTCAAGGAGTATAAATTTTGAATTTATTATTATTTTCATATTGCCATTCAATCTCTGTTTCAATCGAATTGTGTTCAAACGACTATAAACTTCTTTCCGAATATGAACAAAAATCACTAAAAGTAAAAAAAGACTATTAATATATAAAGTACTTTTCGAGTGATATACCTTGAACATTTCAAAATTTATTTGATGTTAAGCTATTTATTCGTTAGCGGAATATGTTGATGACGGTACGCCTAAATCTATTTGAAGAATAATTTTGATACGCTTTCTTGGGGAGATAAATACAACTTAACATTTCAGCTGGCTTGTGCAGTATCGTGTTTACATGACCAAGGAATTGTACATTTAAAGATTATATAAACATTTATACTGGTATATATATTTTTTCTTTAATTTAATAAAGAAATATGAATTTTATTTTTTCGTTCAATAAATTTATTTATGATTTTAGAGTGTTGGATAATGAGCCAAACTATCGACCGGCCATGAACAAAAGTGGTTGAGGAATTAAATGCAATTATTACAAAAACAAATATAATTGATTGTGTTCAAATGAAAAATGATGGATCAAATATTCGATTATCTGAGCAACAACTTCACTTGAATGGCGTTAATGCTTCTTCCAGTATTAAAAATTCATTTTATGGAGAATCATCTCGAAATATTCAAAATTTTAATCAGATGGAGAATTAGGATTGAAAAAATGAGGAATCAGTCATTATATACGATGATACCTATTGTTAGTTTAGAAATTAGCAAATCATTGAATGAATTAGCAGATGATAATGACAGTAATGGTATTATTCCTTATATTGCTCCAGAGAATTTTCATGGACAAAATTATACTAGGCATCAGTCATCTATAGTCTTAAGTATGATTATGAGGTGTGGGAATTAATGACGTGTAGAAGACCTTTTTTGGATCAAAGATCATGATACAGAACTTATTATCAGATATGTGATGATACAAATGCACCTGATGGTTAATATTGAATTAATGAGAAAATGGATGCATCCTGATCCAAATAAAAGGCCGACAGCAAATTATTTAAGCTGAAGATATGTATTTTATTGAATTAAATAATTCATATTGCGGAAATGCAACAAAATTCGTATTGGATCAACCTATTTTTATTTGTCCCACTACCTTTTGATTTTAAGGAGGAATAATTGCAATGATGCATAATTTCCTATATCCACGAATCATTCAGGAGCATTATATAAATTAAGACCATTAAGCAATATGATAAAATCTGCGATACTCAATTCATTATAATATTTACTTTTTTGATTAAAAAAGAATTAATATTTATATCAATTTTTTAAGTTTTAAATTTTGTTTATTAAATTACTGTTTTTATTTTATTTTATTATTTTATTTTGGAGAAATAAAAGATAAAAGAAAGATTACGGATGAATTAATTAATGATCAACAGAAGTAAAAAAAAAAAAGTAAATATTTTACTTGCTTTGTTTTAAATTATTAATTTTTACATGGTATATTATAACATGTGTCTATATCAATCAATGAAAATAAAAATAACGAAAAAAAAAAATATAATTGCATTTCGAAAAGTATATATAAAAAAAAAATAAAAAGAAAAAATTATAAAAAAATAAATAAATTAAATAAAAAAGAAAGAATGGACCGAAGAAAAAATATATCGAAAAAACCAAAATACAAAAAAAAAAGAATGAAATACGAAAAAAATAAAAATCGATCGATAAGATCGATAAGATCGACCGAATTGACGATATTCGAAATCAATTTCGATATCCGAAATCCGAAATTCAAATATTATTAATTATATATTTTCGAATATTTGAATTTTATTTATTTACAAACGAATATTCGAATATACTATTTTCAAACGGAAACCCTAACACTTGTCTTCGTCAGACTAACTAATTTTATTGTTCATTAGATTGACATTCAAAGATTATAATGATTTTGACAAATACATTTAAACTGCTGTAAATTCCCGTTTAAATGTGAAAATCCTTATTCATATGAAGTAAGAAATGCGGCAAGGTAATTTAATCCGAGCTGAAAAAAAAAGTCAAAAAATTGTGGAGTCACGTCATATTTTAAATCCTTAAATAGTAGCAATTACTTTATCTTGGCGTAAAATTATTAAAAGTTTTTAATAAATCTTTATATTACATTTTTTTTTGAATTTTCTTTTTTCAAAAGGTTTTCATTGAATGCACTCAATATAATAACAATACTTTCTATTTTTTAAAAAAAACAATGAAAAAAACATAAACCCTCCGAATTTATTTAAAACTGCGACATTCAACTAAAATGAGTTTGAACATGAACTTTAGTAGGTTTACGAATAGCTGGAAGAACTCATGAATTTATTGCCGTATTCAAAAAGTATACAATCGCCTGACATGATAATTTAATAGTGGATTGAATGCCAAAAGAACTGAAAGACCACTTTCCAATGAATAATGATACTGAACACATCAATAAATTATAAAAAGTATGCCAGAAATGAATTGAAGCATCCAGAGAATATTAATTCCATTTACATCATTATTAAATAAATAAATTTTTGTTTCAGCTGATCGGATACGTAGTGTATACTATATCATATTTGCACATGATCAAAATTTCTATACCTTTTTGTATCAAACTATAAAAGAATACATTAGATTATTTGTATTCCTAGTGTAATCATTAATAGCTTAATCTTAAAAGCACAAGTATAAATATTTTATTTCGAAGTATCTTTTAAAAAATTGTCCAAGTTTTTTAATTATTTTATTTATGTGTATATAGAAGTTGCGGATCAAAAAAAAAATCCGGATCTGTTTTACTCATTTTCATACGCCTTTCAACTATTAAATAAATAAAAATTGTTTTTTCGCTCAAAATAATACTACATACTAAGAATTTATTCTTAGGTTTGTTTAGTCATATATATATAAATGATTGCACGATAAATGCATTAAGCTTTTTTAAACTTTAATTTTTTTTTTTTGTGGCACGACAATATATAAAAGCTTGCAATGCAAACATCAACAAACCATTGCTACTAAACGACCAATATTAATAATTTTTGTTGAGTTCAATCGATTTTTGTGTAACCACATTGAAAATAGTGTTACGATTAAATGCAAATTCCGGCCGAAACCTTCATAATTTCGTTTGAAGTCCGCTCTTGATAAATGCAGTTTGTCCCTTTGATGATCATTTGCCAGTTTGTCACGATGCCAGTTTGTCAAGGTTCCAGTTTGTCAAGACAGCAGTTTGGCTTAATTAAAGATCTTTTATAAATACAAGCAGAAAATCCTAAAACAGCTCAATATCCACGCCCGGCTTTAATATATTCCTTTGACAATCATTCCCTTCGCTATATTCCCTTTAAAATTATATTTTCGCATTTTGTAACACAGTTTATTGTTTTATTTTTAATTTCCGATTTTTATTAGTAATTTGTTATACAATTTTTATGTAATAGTTTCGTAATTGCGTAGTTTTAATTAATTAGTTGGCATTTACTTAGCTTAATATATTGAAAAAGCGAAAGTGTAGAGCGCCGACGTTGAGGCAACACTGATCAAATTGATATAATTAAATAAATTCTTTGTCAATATTACTTCATTTTTATTCAATTATTACCTTCTGCTTACATTACAAATTGTTTATAAATACATAAACGAAAGAACTGAATACAACAATATCTTCTTTATCAATACTCATCAATCGTTATATTAATAAACGAGACTATTTCCTTTATTTGTCTAGGAAAGCATTCTTATTATCCCATAAAGTGTTGCAGATAAAATCACAATTTCAACTATCAATCAAACTTAGAGATTACCTGAACTTAATCAATCCAATACTAGTTCGACTGATTTGAAATTAAATGAATTTACCTACCTTTTTATAATTATCAAAAACTATGTTTTATCAATTTTCTTTATAGATTTCTATATTTAGAATGATTTTTTATTATTTCTCTTAACGTTTGCAACCCTTAATATTTATTTAGTTATAAAGGTAATCAATGATTTGATTTAAAATATTATCAAAACTCTCAATGGCCTTTTCAAGAACGTTAATAGCATTCTGTTATTCTGTATTACAGTTATAACTCAAATGTCATAATTAAAAATCAATTTATAAATTTTTATTTTAAATATTCTTTTCTTTGTTTAAACGATTTTTTTAAAATCATCACGGACTTTTGGTTATGTCACATTTTCATGTTTTTATTTATTTGAAAATAATGAATGCTACGTCAAAATTAATATACACGTGACGAACCTGATCTTCAGAAAAAACCAAGGTAATATTTTCGGTTGAATTTGTTAATCTATAAAGGAAGGAAACAAAAATCTCACATGGCCTTGTCGTTTAAAATATAACACAAAGTTGATTTCGTTCAAAAATATCATTAATGGTTAATTGTTAAAATGATTTTCCTAAAATCAAATAAAATTACTTTTTGAACGGAAATATATATTGGACTAATTAATAACAATGGAAATTAAATACTGTAAAAGGATTAGGTTGCTAACTTTACCTTCTAACTTTATTCTTTTAAAAAAAAATTTAAGTTGGAATTTTTATAAAAAATGCAGTTTACATACCGTATTCTATATTCCATTTTATCATCAATTTATTTGTTGCCTACAATCAAATCCATACAAGTATTCCCGAAAATTTCTTTTCAACGAACATCTTTTTTTACCTCGAACCACCACAAACTGCCTTTGCTCTTGACATTGAACAAATAAGTTATCCTGATAAATGTGACTTGAAACAATTACATTTGATTACTAGACACGGCAATTTAAAATTTCGTACAAAGTGTATAATTTCATAGCATAAAATTATCTTTATTTTTTCCTTTAAATATATTAGGATAAAGATATCCAGATCCAGATAGTATTATAATTTTATGAATTGGAGAAAGTATTTGGGTAAATAAGTTCACAATTAAATTATGGAAATTCAATAAAATATTGTCGTTATTAACAAAGAGTTTTATTCAAAATTTTTAGTATAAAAATCCTTTCCCAATGAGGGGAAATCGAACCTTATTTGATGGTTTACAATCTCGTAAAAGATACGCAAATTTTGGGATGGAGTTGAATACGATTCCGAAGTTATAAAATTTCAAAGCACTAAAATTTCAAGGTACAATTTTATAAAATAATGATTGGATGGTTCACATATTGATAAAAAAAAATGATGATGAATATGTGGTATCCTTCTTATTTAAGAACCGGTGCGTCAACGATGTCTTTTCTGAAGGATTATTTAATGGCAAGGGGACTTTATACACTTGTAAAAGTCAGCCGGTATACTTTGGAATTGTACCACAGGTAAAATTTTATTGCGCCATTTACAAATAATTCTTGTTTAGGAGCCAAAATTTTATAATTTATTAAAAAAGAATATTTTTACAAGAAAAATTTATGCTTTTATAAAAATTTGCGATTAATTAATTTAACAATTTTAGAAATGAAAAATTTGAAAGTTAATTAATACATTTATGTATTACAAATCCTCTGATAAATTTATCTTATTCTCTCAACTATCTGGTCAGCAATTTATAAGTCTACATAAACGAAATATAAGAAGACTCTAAATTTTTTTAAAAAAAATGAAATTTATTATAAAAGTATTATTTTTAATAAAAAAAACTGAGTGAAATTTGTTATTAAAATTAGTAATTCAATACTTGATAAAGAATAAATATTTAAATAGAATCACGAGATATAATAAATGTAGCGTGATTTTAATAAAAATGTTTTGATACGAAAGACAAAAATTTAAAATAGGTCAAGGATAAGCGCATAACTTTTCGTAGTCGCACCCAATCTTATCACCAAGAATCATTTTAAATTTGTTCCACTCACAATATTCCCCACAACCCGGAATATAAAACGGTTTAAAATTAAGTAATATTCGTATGTATACGTGATTACCGGAACATTTATAAATTTCGGAATAAAGCGTAGAAGACCAGGGTATGAGCCTATATTCTGTATATTTGACATTTTGAATTTGTTCAAAGGTTAAATTTCCCGTGAGTGGATATTCATTTTTAAATAACCCCTGTAAATTAAAATAACATAAATTAATAAGGGAAATAAACAAATGAATTAAAAAAATGTACGAACATGCACAGATTTACATACGAGTGTAGTAAGTATCATCGTCATAGTGAAACCATGAGAATTTTTTAGATCAGCTATCACGGTAGAATTCCCATAAAAATAACCTTCAACTCCATTAACAAGTTGAGTAATATATCTACAACCCATTCGTAAATTAAGTGGGCTACCATATGATAATCGATAATAAAAGTCCAGATCCCAATAATATCGTGATAATAAAAGTTCTTTAGGACTCAATAAAGAACACCATGCATCGGTTCGATTATAAACAGTGAGCCAGAATTGGCAATTAGTAAATATAAATGGTACTAGATGTGGGTCAAGAGGTGGACTGATATGATAATCTTTGGAAATTCTCTTGGCAATTGGTGCGTGTCTTGTTACCATATAAATAGATTTGTTCGTCACGTAATGGATTATTAGTATTCACAGTCTCGTTCCAGCGTCGACAGGAGGTAACCAAACTTAATGTATCGTCTTGTTCCTAATACAGGAGGTGTAGTATGTGAAAAGTTATGAACGAAAAAAATTATTACAAATGGTGCAATAAATTTACCGGTGGTAGATTCCAATAATAAATAGGTTGACTTTTACAAGTGTCTAATGGCCCGTAACCATTGAATAATCCTTCACTGAAGGCCATTAACGACGCACCGGTTCTTAAGGTAAACATACACCATCAATTAAATGTGTATTTAGGAAAATGATGAAATGTGGTGTAAAAAACAATACCTTGTAGTTTGAGAACTCTGAAATTTTATAACCTCCGGATCATATTCAACTCCATCCCAAAACTTTTTGTACCTTTTACGACATTGTAGACCATCAAAAAAAGGTTCGATTTCCCCTCGTTCGACCAATTGAAAATTTTTCCTCATGGGGAAAGGATTTTTATACTAAAAATTTTGAATAACAATGATAAGTCTTTTGTTAATATCGACAATATTTTATTGAATTTCCATAATTTAATTGTGAGCTTTTTTACCCATTCTTTCGCAACAGAAAATTAGAAAATACTTTTTCCAATTTCTCATAATTTATAATATCATTTGGAGCTGGATATCTTGATCCTAATAATTTAAGGAAGAAAACCCCCTCAGATTATTTTATGCTATGAACTTATACACTTTATACGAAATTTTAAATTACCGTGTCTAGAAAACAAATGTATTTGTTTTAATTCACATTTATCAGGATAACTTATGGGTTTGATGTCAAGTGAAAAAGCAGTTTCCGCTGGTTCAAGGAAAAACAAATTGTTGTTTATAAGATAATCTCGAGTATACTTGTATAAAACGCATAGCGCTGGGTTATAAGAAATAAATAAACCGAAGACAAATATCGAATATACAATGTAGTATGTAAACTGCATCTTTTCTTAAGATAATGTAATAATAATTGAACACTTTGAAAATTTTTTTTTTTTTAAAAAAATCTTGGGAACGAAAATGCTTTTATTTTAACATTTTACAGTATATTGAATAAAGTCTTTTAGACAATATAGGAAATGAGTATGAAGGTATTATCTTACAATGAAAAGTATTTTTAACCATAATGCATATGAATATTTCGATTTGTATAATTTTTTAATCAATTTTTAATGCTTTATAAGCATAAACATATAAAATTAAAAATATAATAGTTACCTTTATAAAAGGCAAATAACAAGAAATAAAAGTAAAAATAATCCGACAACTCTAATTATATGGAAAATACACTTACCACGATTGTAACTTAGTGCATGATATTCTTCGGAAAAAAACAATTAGAATCTTAGATCCAAAAACTTTTTCACATCAGAATTTAAATCCAATCGGGATTTAATCTTACTTAATTTTGCTCTCCATAATCACATGTCATCATTAGCGATCCATACCATATTTGAATTGATCCGGTATTATGGGGCATTAATTATAAATAAATAACTATTTATAATGATTCTATTTATTTTTTTGTTTAAATTTGGTTCATTATGCGACTAATGTCATCTTTTCGATAGTTCTATTTTAAGTAATCGACACGTGCCTGTTTTTTTCTAAATTTGAGATGACAAAAAAATAATTGATTTTTAGAACTTTTTTTGCAACATAAAACTAGTCAACGGGGACCGTTGTGCGTCCGAAGCGAGCGTCAAGCTTTCACGTTCCAATTTTTTCGAACTTGACATTTTTATTTTAGTTTAGTGTTACATTTACATTTAATTTAGTATAGTGTTACATTTAATGGCACGATGAATAATAAATATGAGAAATTTTTTCGTTATTTTGATCATTATTTATAGGTGGCTTACTTTAATGCTACGAAATAACCTTAATTCCACGCAACTTATCGGAAATGTTGCGGCCGGCTTTCCTAACAAACCTTCTTCCTAACACTAACCCTAACCCTAACCTAATGAACCTAATGCCACAATAACTCTATGTCACGTCCTAACCCTAATGCTGATGCTACGCCTTAACCCAAATGCCATGGTTTTACATCAATAGTGACCGACAACATTTTTTGCCCTATGCTCCGATTATATAGTCCCGGTTACACTAATCACGTGTAACATCTATAGTGACCGACCAACATTTCCGACCTTTTGCAAAGATATGGATCATTGAACTATTTATGAGAAAAAACAGTAAAACTAATTGGCGTAGGCTAACTGATAATTGTAAAAAAAAAAAAAAAAAATAAGAGATTATGAAGCAACATTCTTAAAAATAAATAAATGTTTTAGCCAAGAATTATAGCTCGCTATACATTGTTTAGTTTTTACTATTACTTTAACGAGGGTCGCTAAATCTTTTGTTTATATTATTAACTATTAAACAAGTTATTTCTTGAAAACTATACCATTTCATTTCCTAAAAATGATATCATTGAAACAATCTAGTTGAAATTGAACATTTTCGGCCGAACAAACGTTAATTAGTCGTATTTGGAGAACTCTTTGAAAAAAGTAATTTGATATTTTTTAATTTACTTCAACGCGAAAAAAATACATCGATCAAGAAGTAAAGAAAATTACTTGCCAAAATTTTTTCGTGTTATTTGTGAATTTTTTAAATAATTTGTTCACATTATATAAGTATTAGTGGGCAATGTGGTCGTATTTGTACTTATGAAGTATTTTTTTTTGATAAATAATAGAATTTTATTTTATGTTTTCAAAATATTTAAAAAATCTTAAATAATAAAAAAATTTTCCCTATCATTCAAACAGCAACCCGATGCAATCGAAACACCTAAAAAAAAGATAATAAAGATGTTAATGAAAAATAATTAGAAAATAAAACGAAATAAAAGAAACTAAAAAATAAAAAATCGATAAAAAAAAATAACAACAATACAATTATTATATATATGTATATTAATAAAAATTATGACCAGCCTTGGTTAATGATAATTTAAGGAATACCGCGGTATCACTTCTCGATTGAAGCTTTAATAAAAAAAGACTACGTTTTCGACTTTGTATTTAGATAGGAAGTAATTAGTTTCCGTCCATAAAAAAAATTGCTTACAAATTCAAAATTCTTTGTAGCATTCATAAGGCTAATTACAAAAACACAGAAATTATAATTTCCAAGTATGTTAATCATGTTAGAATGATCTTAACTTTAGACGTATAAAATAGTATTACATCAGAATAATTAATATAGGCTCTACTATTTATTACGGGTAATTGAAGATATTTCAGATAATATTAAATATATTTTTTAAAGTACTTTATCATTGTTGAATTAATTTATCTGTTTAATTAGATTACCTTGACTTTTACAATTTCATGACTATATACTATGCAAAGTCAGAAATGACTACCTGCTTCCATTTCATTTCTATTATTGCAACTGAAATGACACGCCTACATTTAGTGGACCAAATTAAAAAAATATAATACAGAATAAATTGTGTTTGATGAATTAGTTATTATAATTTTAAGCAATGCTAACACTTTCATCCACTTTCTAAGCAATCAAACATGAATGAATAAATTTGATAAATATGGCGACTGTCGAGAAGATTTATACATACTTGATAATTTGTCTTCTATAGTCAATAGAATAACTTAAAAAAAAGAGTAAACTTGGCTAATTTAATAAAATTGTCCGATTAAGTGGGTTTGTTATTAAAATCATGGTAAAGATCATACCATTTACTATGTCTCGTAACAATTTTAATAACGAACGACCTGTGTTCATAAAATTGAAGCATAACGATCAATAGAATCGTTGATTTGTGAGTAGGCTTAATATTTACAAAGTTTATGACAATCAATAAAATATAATAAAAAGAAATTTATTTCCAGTTAGCACCTTTTTTGGATTACTTGAAATCATTTAGGACGCGAACCGCTCCTGAAATTACAGTATATCCTTGTAATAATTTTGATGACTGACATATGAACAAAGTTACAAATAAATGTCATTTATTTTAAATGATAATGACTTAAAAATAAATAATAATCTAACTTTTAAATATAAATGTTTCTTTTTTTTATAATCATTTGATTCTCGTTATTAAATATCAAAATTTATTGATTTGGAAATTATTGTTTATTATATTTCTTTTTTACTTACCAATATTAATAGATTCACTACTTTCGTCTCAATAAATAATAAAAAAAAATTGTTTGTCTTCATTCGGTAGTTTAAAAGTTGTAGTTTTAATTATATTATTATACCTTCGTGTGCATAACATTGTATAAATCATTTTTTACGATATCCTAAGATATTTTTTTGTCGGCGCTTTTACTTCATTCAAAATGATTTCATCTATAAGATCATATATAATAGAAGTTCCCAACATAATTTCATTAATTCAATATAACGATCGGAGGACGATCACCATCAATAATTCGAATCATAAGTTCTGTGTCATAGTCTTGATCCAAAAAAAATACTAAAAACTATATATTGATATAATTTTAATAATTTTGACCTTGAAATTTCTCCAGAGCAATATAAGGTAAAATCCCTTAACACTCATCATTATTATCCGATGATTCAGTAGATTTAATAATTCCTAAATCACTTATTACAAGATCATTCATTTTCACAAAGAATATTTCCACTACGAAAATCCCAATGAATAATTTCCTGCTGATGAATATAATTAAGTCCTTTTATAATTTGCTTTAAATTCTTATTTATTCCATTCAAAATGATATAATACCTAAAATCATACTTATAATATTTCATAAATATCACAAAATCTTCTGTATTTAGATTTTGAATAATTCCATAATATTTATTTAAATGAAATAAAGAATTGATAAATCCTTATTTAAATCAGTAACATAAATTATAAAAGCTAAATTTATAAAGTATAGCGAAAATGTCGCGAAGGGATTAAAGGACCAGTTTTAAGGTGTATTTATGCCAATACAAGAAGGGGAGAGCGTGATATGTTGAGCTGTTTAAGGTTTTCCAGTTCATATTTAAAAAAAATAATTATTAGGACAGCCTGGCATCATGTCATTTGTCACCCTACTAACCTACATCCTAACAAGCATCGTGAACAACCTGCAATTCGATCTTCACAAATATAAATGTTTATGAAATTTTGAAGGTATACATTTATTTATTAATACAAGGAACAAGTTTAATTAATAAAATGAAAATAGATTACTACTAAAATATTTTATGTTTTAATTATAATTGAAAACGTATTAATTAATACACGAAAATGTCACATAAAATACTGAATATAAAATTTGTTACCAATTGGATATTTATAAACATTTTAATATATGTGTATTTCGTTATGATGCACAGCTTAACTTATTACATCAAAGGTGATTTAATTAATAAAATAAAAAGTTTCATTTGAAATATCTTCTTTCATCAATTTTCTAATTTTTAAGTGCCTGGTGACTTTTGATATCCCATTATACATCGCATGCATAGTGAAATCATTGTTTCGCCTCATTTGATTGGTGATGAGGAACTTTACTCAATTGATAAAAAAAAAAAATTTGCCAAATAGAACGACAAGGGTTTATAATAATTTTATTTATTTATAGCGTTATAAAATAATCAATATTAAAAAGGATACGACAAATTTTCGGAAAAACTTCATTCACAACTAATCGGTTTCAATGAGCAATGAAAGATTTAAATAATGCGGAATTCAGCAAAATTATATTTCATCAGAAATTTAATGAATGATTTAGAAATTTGCGTTTACACTTGTATAGCGTGTCATAACGCTTGTCACAAATTTTTAATTATTAAAACGGGCACTAAAATATTAGAAGCAAAATTTTATTAATAATTAAATGTATTTGCGTAGTAAATTTAAAACGTACATATAAAAAATTTGGGTTAAAAGACATACATACATAGCTTTCATTTTTCGATAAACCATTTACTGCAGAATTGT